CAACAGGACTGGTATTGTAAAGTTTGTGAAATACGTAAATTATCAATGTATAAGGAATATAAGTCATTGCTAACAGTTGAAAAGTATCTCTGTGAAATCACAAGCCGTCATTATAGACGTATGTTTTGTTTGTTAAGAATTGGCGAGTTGCCATTGATGGAAAATTTAGGTAGAAGATGCGGTATAGTGTACTGTAATAGGCAGTGCAGATATTGTCATTTATAGGAAATTGAAGATGAGTTTCATTTTATGCTTGTCTGCCCATGTTACAGATATTTAAGAAATAAGTATTTACCTATTTATTACTCTTCCAATCCTACCTTATTTAAATATAATACTCTATTATCTTGTAACCGCACTAGTATTGTAACTAATTGTGTTAAGTATATACTGGAAGCACTTGCAATCCGAAATACTGTCACTTAATACCCTCTGTCATCTGCCTCATACTGTATTTTTCAATGAGTATTTGTACGTGGGCCTATGGCCTTTATACTGAAATAAAGAATTGAATATCTAATCAAGTGAAGGAATTAACCACATTAAGACCAGCACATCCATCTGTTCATTTATATTTAATCAAGGTAAAGCGAACACCTCTTTCTCCTCATCTATCAAAGGGTTAATCACGATGAGAGCAACACCCCTTTATCAACATGTACATTGAGATCAAAGTAAAGGGGTACTTATCATTATTATCAGCATATTCTCCTCTACGTGTATTTAAAAATGTTTAGCTCAAAATAACCTTCTCTATACGTGTATTTTTGTCTTGTTAAAATGTTTAACACTTAAAGGTCAACACCTTTTTTACACGTGTAAAGATATCGAAGTAAATAGTTACTCGCATTACGATCAAAAACAGTACAGTCAATAACTCAAGATATTTTACGAAATCGTTAGTGATTTGGAATACGGACAAGAGACGTGCCTTTCATGACGTCTCCTCAGTCCTCATTAGGATGTTATTCTCCTCACAGACGGGCATCAAGAAACCCCTAATATTTAGGAAGAAACGGCAGTAACGATGTGTGACGTCCTAACAGAAGCAGCACTAACGGAGTGTGACGTACTCGCTTCCTTGCAGAAGCAGCACTAACGGAGTGTGACGTACTCGCTTCCTTGCAGAAGCAGCACTAACGGAGTGTGACGTACTCGCTTCCTTGCAGAAGCAGCACTAACGGAGTGTGACGTACTCGCTTCCTTGCAGAAGTAACACTAACGGAGTGTGACGTCCTCGCTGTCTAACAGATGGAGCACTAATGGAGTGTGACGTATTCACTGCCTTGCAGAAGCAACACGTACGGAGTCTGACGTACTCACTGCCTTGCAGAAGCAGCACTAACGGAGTGTGACGTACTCGCTTCCTTGCAGAAGCAGCACGAACGGAGGGAATGTGACGTACTATCTAGCTATCATAAGCAAGTCTAGCGGTGTATGACGTACACGCAAGCTGACAAAAACAGCACTAACGGGTGTGACGTACTGGCTAACTGACGTACGATCTAACGATCATGTGCAAGACTAGCGGTGTATGACGAACACGCTAGCTTACAGAAGAAGTACCAATGAATTGTGACGCACTCGCTAGCTAACAGAAGAAGCACAACCAGGGTATGACGTACTCACACTAGCTGACAGAAGCAGCAAAAAGGGGGGGGGGGGGGGGGGGGGGGGGGGTAATCGCTGGCTAATATAGGCACTACAATCGGAGTGTGACATAATTGCTAGCTAACAGTATAGTGGGGCGGTTAAGGCTAAAATTGTGCACTTTGGGTTAAAAGCACCAAACTTGGCACACTTATACATTGAACCATTCCGAAAAAATTTGGATATAGATCCACCTCAGCAGAGCCCCTCTGGTGGTAGAAAATCCAAGATGGCCGCCAACATGGCTGAACTCTCTAATGGTATCAATATATACTCAATATATCATACTTATCTGATCCATTTATATATATATATATCCATACTAATGCATGCGGAATGAATTGCAGCAGAGCTGTGTATAATTCAAATTTAGTTTCCACGCCCCCTGGTGGTAGAAAATCCGGGATGGCCGCCAGCATGGCTGAAATCTCTAATTATATCAATCTATACTCAACACATCATAGTTATCTGGCCAATTTATACAAATTATCATTGTAATGTATTTAGGAGTAATCACAACAATCCTGTATATAATTCAAACCTCGTATGCAGCACCCCCTGGTGGTCATGGAAATCCAAGATGGCCGCCGACATGGTTGAAATCTCTGATGACTTTGTCTATACTCATTTATCAAAATTATCTGGTCAATTCATTCAATTGATCACAGTTACTTTTTCAGGATCAATTGCAATAATGCTTTATATAATTCAAATCTGGTATGCAGCGCACCCTGGTGATGACAAAAATCCAATTAGGCCTCCAATATGTTTTAGTTTTCAGAAATTGTCCATTTCTACAGCAGATATAGATATCATTTGATATCTTTGGACTAAGGATAATTTGATGATAGTTTTGAAATGATGAAACATTTGAAATCACATTGTATCAATTGATATGTTTTGTCTATGATCTATTCTCGGCATATTATTTTATAAATGGTCTACTGAGAAAGGTTCCAAACAGTTTATATTAGATCACCCCAAAATCACTCATCTGGGAATGGATTCATATCTTAAATCAGGAATGTATGTAAAATAATTATTGACATTATTGACATGAACCTATGACATTAACTTACTTCCTACTGAAGTAGGACCAGGAATATCGGTTCAATGTATGTGTTTACGGTTCTATTATTCACTTACAGTGAACACTTTCCTTCAAAGTATCACATAGCACTGTACTCAAGACAGGCAGTGTAAAGTTTACAAAGGTTTGCAAGACTTCTTTCTGGTGTAGTGTTAGTTTTTAACGCTTCTTTGTGCCTGACCAAGTGTTGTCCACTTGGAATATCTATATATTACTGCATGTCCTCTCCCAACCCCTGACTACAAGATTTGTAGTGTGGGACGTTTGTCAAGCACCTGTCCCAAAATATGCATTGGTGCTGTCTCAGTGCTGACTCTTTGGGTTGAAATGTCAATTGTCTGAGATATTCATGAATAGAGATTTTGCCTTTCATTATCCTTCCAAATAAACCAGTGAGAACGATAAACCGCTCAAGAATCTGCATTGTGTTGTCAGCGATATCTGTTGATGATGGGAAAGCATTGGTGACTTCAGGAAATACTTGACACTTATCCCAAGCATATGAACCGGTGAAGGCATGAAATGGTGACAATGTCTTTTTTTAATACCGTGGGTCTCTAGAAGAAAACTCTCGGCTGTTTCAGTCAATCCAACTGCACCTCCATCTCCTTTCATACGGCTATTGAATTGTTCATGTGTCTGACCTTGTGCCACACAAGAGAATGTCTGCAAATCTGCCTGAGGCAATTCCAGCAGCACAGATTGCAGTTTTCAATCTACTTCCTTTGGGACAGTTTCTGAGAATCCTGAAAGCAACTCTTTCTATATGCAAATCTACCAAACATAATAAGGATGTTCATCACATAAACTGTGCTATATCTGTTCAAATACACCATATTTTACACCATGTTTAATACCAAGTAAACTGGGACTTGTATTTCTCGGTCTCATTGGTGTTTGTGTTGATGAGCTGGTGCACCGAGATTTCATGCTTTGAAGACAAGATGTTCTGAGATACAGTAAACTACGTTTATAACGAACACGCTTATAACGAACTTTGCGGAACTGGTTTTTTGGTCCAAGCCATTTGCTGTATAAATTATGTATATATGTTTATAACGAACTACGGCTACAACGAACTAAAATTAGTGGTCCCTTTGAGTTCGTTATAACCGTAGTTTACTGTAGTTTGGAATGCTTGAAGATTCTTTTTTCATACCTGGTACTACAAATTTCATACTGACTAGAGCTTTCAAAGAGGCAGGTACATACTGTTTATGGCAGCCAGAAGGAAATGTTCCTCTGAAAATTTGTTTCAACTTTAAATTACGTCTGTGGATAAGTGTTGCTAAAAAAATGTCAAATGTTTGTCCACAATATCAGTATCATTTGCTCATTGCAATTATTTTTAATCAAATATGGCTTTACAACATTTTCAAGTAATTTGGGGGTGGGAGAGGGGGTGGTGATGGTCGTGTACGGGAGTGGTGATTGTCACGTGTTGGGGGTAGGAGGGGGGGGGGGGGGGGGGTCGGGATGGTGATGGGTGGGTGTGGGAGTGGTGTTTCATCAATGTTGATGAGCTGGTGCACCGAGATTTCATGCTTTGGCGGCCATCTTGGATTTTCTTCGCCATCAGTGGGCGCTGCATATTAGATTTGAATTATATACAACATTGACGCAATTAACTTTATATAAATGACTAAAATTGACACAATAATGATGATTATGATTAATGAACATAAATTGACGTCATAAGAGATTTTAACCATTTTGGCGGCCATCTTGGATTTTCTACCACCAGGGTGGCGCTGCTGAGGTGGATCTATATCCAGAAATGTTTGGAATGTTTCAATGTATAAGTGTACCAAGTTTGGTGCTTTTAACCCAAAGTGCACAATTTTGACTAAAATCCAGCCTTAACCGCCCCACTAGTAGCAGCACCAGAGTATTGACGTATTGACAGAAGCAACTCCAAGGGTGATTCACATTTGCTAACAGAAGCTGCCTCATTGTCCTTTTTCTTTTTCCATGACAAAATCCCTAAATTATTCACATCTAGAGATCTGCATATAGTATAGTCGAGACATAAATCAAATCGTCTCACGCAGATAAAGTACGCCCAGAGCGTTCATAATCAATGGATTCAAGTTTAGCATTCACCGAAATAGTACGTTGTATAATATTGTTAGTGCGCTGTTTCACCTTCTCATGCCTACATTTCGAAGAGCTCATAAAATATATGATGGTTCCCTTTGGCCGTGAAGAAACTGTCCGCGTACACATGACGGACGTGTTGTTATTCAAAGAAAAGAGGGTCAAGTTTTGTCAATATTTATTGGTACAATAATACAGTCTCATATGAACTAATGCATTGTTTGTGCTTCAAATTGTCGATACATACATGTATATATATTACACTGCTGCCCTTGAGAAACGCATGAAGCATAACGGCAACCCATTCAAAAGGAGGAGTAAATGTGTTGCTTTGATCTGTACTACGTCAGTTATAATTAAAAGGAGGTACCAGCTTAATGTAAGGGGGGGGGGGGGGGGGGGTGGAGGGGGGTGGTAATCGCATAGAGGTGCAAGCCACAGACCTTTACAACTTTGGTGAAACCCCCGATCACGGGTATGGTGTTGACAGACCAAGGATCATAATTGGGGTGAATCTGTGACTCGAACCAATGACCAGCGAATCCTGGCATGGCTAAGGGACGCAATTCAAAGGATATACATGTCTGTACATTCAACTTCAATATATACATATACATATATAAATATTACTTTGTATTTCATCTACGCTAAATCCAATTATCTTCTAAGCAGCTCTTGAGAACTGTAAACATGCAGGTCCTTGTAAGGCATTTGGAAGTGATACACATAAGGAAGAAAAATCAGGGAGTAAGCATGTACTCCGAAACGTTGTGTTCCTCATAATAAAGAAGTTGACATCCATAATTTTTCTTCCTGTAAACATGCAGCGGAGAACTTTACAACTGCCGCTGTTCTACAGCCATGTATATTGCAGTGTGAATGGTTACACCTTTCGTGAGTATAAAGTATTTGGGTACCAAAAGGCATGCTTTACCTCTGATTAATGCATCTCAAAACTATGAACTGATACGATTTACAAAGTAAAAGTGGATCCTTAGACACTGTATCAGCGGGGATGTGCACTCTTGTCGTTGTCTTTCTGTGCCTATTCAAGTCATAGCGACCAAATGGACCTATGGCTGTTTCAATGTCATGAAGTCTTGTTTCACAGGCAATACCAGCAACAACCTCACACCAAGAAGCCCACAAAAGTGTCTTAAGAGTCATTGTCCCAGCACACTTTGTTATTATGTTTCAGCCTCATGTAAAGTTAAGCTTCCGGAGATACTTTCAAATCCCCAGCGCGCCTTTTCAGTTAGTTGACGTTATTTCGTTTCACAACTTTGCAGACGATTTCCGGCAGATGTAAGATGACACCCGGTCGCCATGTTCGTGGATCAGCGGAAGCACCTCGGACTCCCTCTAGTGGTTGGAATTGGAAATTTTGCACCAAGGTTGCGACATACATGAACAAACGGCTTTTCGCAAAGCTCTCGCCTGGACATCGTCTCTTGCCAATACCAAAAGGGATAGATCTGCAAAGAAATATTGAAAGAAGTATTAGTGTGATTGGGGAACGTAGTGTATTCATCCCCGAGAATCTATCATGTCGAATTTGTTGACGATTTACATATATTTAGAATCAATCTATATTTTACGATGACGGGATACCTCTCTGCTTGAAGATCCGACGACACGTTCGTAGAAGGACCATGGACGAACTTTGACCCGCTCAATCAATCTTTGTTGAGCCAATCAGATGTCAGCTTTCTAAAATGATTCGCTTAGCCACCACGATTCTATTTTAGCACAAAAACACGTCACAGAACAGGATATTTAAAATATCCACAACATATGATAGCGCGGCTTTATTTGTTTGCATTTGAAACCTTCCGATTATATTCATTTTCGACATACGGAAATCAGATATACTTTTTTTCAATTCTTCACTCACTCGTACCGGTAGGTTTCCTCAGATCGTCACACACAGAGGTATCGCATCAGAGCAAAATATCTGATCTAAATGAGATTGATTTTGAATAACGGCGGCAAGCATTGCTAACTCATTCTACGCGTCAAGATACATAACTTGGATGATTGTATGCCCTTTTCCTTGGTGATTAATATTAACAGTTAAAGTGATCTTACTTTCTCCTCAAGGGGTGATCTTTGGGCAGCAGCTGGCCAGCAGTGTCCAGAAACCTTTCTGGACGGAAGACCCAGGGGTCCTCGTGCACGCGATAATCATGGTGGATGTTCCACAAGTTGGCTACCAACTACAACATAGACAACACTATGAGCTAAAAGGACAAACACGTCAGCAATATGTGAAAAACATCAGTTACATTGTCAAACTTTCAAATACATGGGCAACAACGTCAGCAATATGTGAACAAGAGTGTGAGTTCATTGGACAACACGTCAGCTACATGGGCATTACTGTCAGCAACATGAGCAACGACGTTAGCTACATGGACAACAACGTAAGCTACATGGACAACAACGTCAGCTACATGGGCAACGTCAACTACATGGACAACAACGTCAGCTACATGGGCAACAAAGTCAGCAACATTGGCATTGGTTAGCTACATGGGCAACGTCAGCTACATGGACAACAAACTCAGCTACATGGGCAAAAACGTCAGCTACATGGGCAACAACGTCAGCTACATGGACAACAACGTCAGCTACATGGGCAACGTCAGCTACATGGACAACAAACTCAGCTACATGGGCAAAAACGTCAGCTACATGTGCAACAGTGTCAGCTATATGAGCAACAACGTCAGCTACAGGGGCAACGCCAGCAACATGGGCAATAACGTCAGCAACATGGGCAATAACGTCGTCAACAACAACAAATGAAGCGATCGCATTGTAATATCAACATTAACGGCAAACAGCCTCTTACTGTACAAATTACAAATTTCATCGTTTTTCAAGTTTATTATGTTAATCAAACGACATCATATATAATCGAATACGGACCATTTCTGGATTTCTTAAGCGCCCATATTGATCGATTCCCTTCAGAAACTTTTATCAATCAAGTGAACAACTGGGTCAGATATAACACTCAACATACCAGGGTGCCCTTGGGTATCGTGTACCCTCGTGTCTCTATGTCCCCGCGGCTGAGGTGGGGGATACTGAAAGGGGTGTGGCTGGTATAGCGCAGGGCTTCAAGAATCACGGCCTCAAGGTAAGGCAGTTTCGGACGATCTTCTAGAGTTACCTCCCTTGAACCGATCTGCGTTCGCAGTTCCTTGTACATGTTCTGTTGTACGTCCTGGTGGTTGATGAGGCAGAGCATTGTACCCAGCAGAGCCCCACGTGTCGTCACGTAGCCTGGCAAGAGAAATACCAGGGGTAAGTAGATAAAAGAATACATGTGGAGGATTCTATTCGAGCAAATGAATGGGTTTGTTTGCTTGTTTTACGCCGCACTCGGCAATATTTATACTCTATTATATGACGGTGGTATGTAAGTAATCGAGTCTGGAGAGAAAATCCAGTGATTGACATCATGAGCATCGATCCACGCAATTGGGATCGATGACATGTATCAACCAAGTCAGACAGCATGACCTACCGATCCAGTCAGCTGCCACTTGCGATAAGCATGTGTTGCTTGGGACTCGAGCAAGTAAGGTATTTGTATTTCACAGAATGCTTGGTATTGATGAAAATTCTGAAAAAAACTACAACCACATGCATTATATCGTCTCCTATCCATAATGAAAATACTCGGGGACCATATTCCACAATGTACATTTTGAGCCGGAATTACACGGAATCAAACGAGCAAGACATACCACGTGGACATCAAGAATGCTTTCACCCTTAGTACCACTTGGGGACTCGAACATGGGACTTTGGCGTGTAGAACGAACGCGCTACCCACAAGGCCATTCCCATCCCCAAACCACTTCTTTATTGTAGATATAATTATGCCTGTTATAAATCGTGATGTTACCTTAAGTTTAAAGCTTTCTGTTTATATAGTTATTTGTATTATACAAGATTTAATTACTACAATGCTGGTTGCTATGATACAGTTACTCGGCAAACTGTTGCAAAAAAACAAACACAAGTCTGTCCTACTGACCCGAAACATATACAGCCCATGAATGTCTATAATAGTTGGCAAGTCTAGATTACTGCAGTTTGAATTTGAACAGAATCTCTGTGCTCCTTTTTATTATATTTTATTAAGATAATTTAACTGGGTTTTTTTCTGAAAATATTTTCATTTCAGCGACTGGATGTCTAACCTAATACATACCTAATCCATACCTTTCACACCAGGGCCCACTTGCACAAAGCGATCTTAGCGCTAAGATGATCGTAACACCCATACTCTAACATAGTCTTAGGGCTAAGATCGCTTTGTGCAACGGGACCCTGGAATATAATGGGACTGTCAGTAATGTATATTCTGTATCAACAGAACAGTCGAGCGTTTTCTTTCATTAACACCAACAGTCATAAGTAGCGCGCCATATTAGGAATTGACAACCGCGTGGGGTTGACATGGCCACGCATGGAGAGCGACCAAGTACGAAGGCAACACGGATGTACTCGATTACACCCCTCCGTTTGAAAGATTCACAAATCAACGCATCCTGTCGGGGGTTCATTGATGTTCGGGAAACTGAGCATCTGAAATTTCAGTATTTTTTCCTGGGCGCCATGTAGAATCGAACTCGGGTCTTCGGGGTGACGATCCACTTTTTTTACCAACTGTCTCTTATTTCAAGTTAGACGGCCATCTTGGTTTCAGTTAACACGCAGTATCGCTTATCTTGACGCCATAGCTCAATGCTTTAAATTCTCGTCAATATTCGCTCTAACCGACCTGGTACCCGGAAAACACCTAAGACTTTGGAGACTTTAAGTCTACTCCTTAGGTTAACACGTACAATTTGGTGGCAATTTGATAAACACACACAATGTGTTTCTCATATATCACAGTTTACCCGTGACGATCCGGGTTAGAATTGGTCTTTAGCAACCCATGCTTGTAAGAGGCGACTAACTGGATCGGATGGTCATTCTCATTGACTTGGTTGATGCATGTCATCGTATTCCAATTGCTCATGATGTCAATCACTGAATTATCTCGTCCAGATTCGTTTATTTATTTTACAGACTATTTCTTTAATAGCTGGAATATTACAGTGCGCGGCGTTGAACAGCAAATAAACATCATGACTTGTTTGGTGAACGGACAAAGTAGAAACTCCTAGATAATTCTTACGAAATAAGTGAAATATGAAGGCAATGACGTCTGATAAGGATTATCAAAAATTAATTTCTTGTTTCTCACGACCCGACCCAAAAATGTATCGCGCCCTATAGTTTTTGTTTTATCTTTAAGCACTATTTTTAAACGATGTTGCAAATTCGTGTTTTTTTCAACGGATTCCACTTTTTGCTCACACCTTTGCACTCATTGTGTGGACTTCCTAGATGTGGACAACATGACATAGGACCCGTCCCTTTATATTTGGACTCAGTGGGTGTGACCAAAAGCCGTCACGATGTACTTTCACAGTCATGTTTACTTTGATAATTAATATTTTCAAACTACACAAAAAATAAAAATAAAATAAAAGCATCCTACAAGAGTCATGATCAACAGTTCTGGCCTGACGCTTGTGATGAAACCTGTTGGACCGAAAACCACCCAGACACTCTTGAATGTTGTCATATAACCCTGGGGGCGATCGGGTAGCCTAGTGGTTAAAGCGTTCGCTCGTCACGCCGAAGACCCGGGTTCGATTCCCGACATGGGTACAATGTGTGACATTGTGCACGAATCCAAATACACGGTTACTTCACCACTTCTTCGAACAAACCAAGGTAAGGTCTTATGAAAACCATTCCACTAAATCATGTTATGTCTACGAATTACATCTTGAAGTAAATTTAAGTTTAAGAATGCTCTTCTGATTACTTATCACAATCGGACGGTCGGGTAGCCTAGTGGTTAAAGCGTTCGCTCGTCACGCCGAAGACCCGGGTTCGATTCCTGACATGGGTACAATGGTGTAAAGCCCATTTCTGGTGTCCCCCGCCGTGATATTGCTTGAATATTGCTAAAAGCGGCGTAAAACCATACCCACTTATATAACCCTGTCTCAGTTTACGCCAATCCTAACATAAACTTCAAACCTCTCTACCCTGTGATCCATAACGCTGGTAGGATATTGTTACTGTGAAGCCAATCAAGCCACCGACCTGGACTGTATTCAAGCATGTAACACCCACAAAATATGCTAATTTGATAGGTTTGAACCAGCTCAACCGTGTTCCTGGTTGTAAATCAACGCAATCCCCGAGCAGGAACAATGAACCTGTTTTGTGAAAAACGTGTTACTTTTAATTGGCCACTTACAGCCCTTCCTTACCTGCGTTGAGAAAATCCAGTATAAAACATTTGATTTGACTGTCGGTGATCCCAGCCTTTTTGCTTCCCTCCCCGCGGGCTTGCTCGGTGAGGACGTTGTATATGAAACCTTGTCCCAGCTCAGCATTGAATTCATTCTGTCAATGAGGGCAAAGAACAGTTTAGTGAACGTGTGGTGACTTTTGTGTGAGTTGGGTTTTACGCCGTTTTGAACAGTTGGTTTGGTTTGTTGTTTTACGCCGCACTCAACAATAATCTGGCGATATGACGGCGGTCTGTAAATAATCGAGTCTGAACCAGACAATCCAGCGATTGATATCATGAGCATCGATCCACGCAATTGGGATCGATTACCTGCATCATTGTCTCGGACGGCTATTTTGCTGTATCATTTTACTCTTAAGTGAGTGGGTGATTTGTGTTTAACGCCGCTTTTAACATTATTCCAGTTATATCGCGGCGTTTTTACTCTTAAACAGACCAGGGTAGAAGTGTTTGCTTAAATAGCAACTGCCATCCGGTGTATTATATACTGGTTGTTTGTTTGTTTGTTTGTTTGTTGTTTAACGCCGTACTCAGCAATAGTCAAGCTGTAATAACGGCGGTCTGTAAATAATCGAGTCTGGACCAGACAATCCAGTTATTGACATCATGAACATCGATCTTCGCAATTGGGATACGATGACATGCATCAACCAAGTCAGCGAGCCTGACCACCCGATCCCGTTACTGGCCTCTTACGACAAGCATAGTCGCCTTTTACGGCAAGCATGAGTTGCTGAAGACCTATTCCACCCCGAATGAACAGTGGTTCTATTATTTCACGACGAGGGGCGGTCGGGTAGCCTAGTGGTTAAAAGCGTTCGCTCGTCCCGCCGAATACCCGGTTTCGATTCCCAACATGGGTGCAATGTGTGAAGCCCATTTCTGGTGTCCCCCGCCGTGATACTCACTCACTCACTATATCACGACGTGTCAGCTTGATGTTTAAGGAAAGCCCGAATTGATGATCTAAGACGTACCACTTTGGCGAAAAACCAAGGGTGTGACCGAATTCATAATCAGAGCGAATCTGGGATTCGAACCCCGGATCATCGGATTCTGTCACGACTAAGGGAAACAACTTCGCAAACAACCAAATACGTGTGACCTATTGAATAACAAATGGGATAATAATTTCTTTTCTTTTTAAAAAAACAGCCAATTATATTAATAACACAAACAAAAAATCATATTTCCTGGTAACATCAGCAAACATGATTGTGATAAGTGAGTGAGTGAGTGAGTATGGTTTTACGCCGCTTTTAGCAATATTCCAGCAATGTCACGGCGGGAGACACCAGAAATGGGCTTCACACATTGTACCCATGTCGGAAATCGAACCTGGGTCTTCGGCGGGACGAGCGAACGCTTTAACCACTAGGCTACCCGACCGTCCGATTGTGATAAGTAATCAGAAGAGCATTCTTAACTTTAATTTTACTACAAGATGAAATTCGTAGACATAACACGATGGTGTTTTCGGTTGTCTTAAAGATATGATTTAGTGGAATGGTTTTCATAAGACCTTACCTTGGTTTGTTCGAAGAAGTGGTGAAGTAACCGTGTCTTGGATTCGTGCACGTCGTCGCAGATGCCTTTGTAATAACCAGGTATGAGGCGGAGGAACGGAAACATCGTCAGCGTCGCGTCCAGTTCATACCGCAGAAGTTTGTTCATGGCGTTGTTGAAATCCAACATGGCGGACAATGACGGCGCCTCGCCCTCGGCACGTCGTCCAATTAACTGAAATCAATAAAGAAATATTCTTTCTCAGAACATGTACCCACTGTGTTGGTTTGCTATATTTGTCTGATTGCCGACACATTTGTATTATTTTATATTGGTATATTGTAAGGATCTCGTTTATCTAAATGTTTTATATCCGTAACACGACGAGAACAATGAAAACAATAATGGATGAGATCTGCCATAAAATTTATTTAAAACAGAGAACACGTGATTTCCAATGAACCAACATTACCTGAACGCGCCAATAGATAGTGTGTAACAAGCGGTTTGTCATATCACGGCTAGACAGCTAGACATCAAGCCCTGAAACATTTTTGTTTGACAACTCAGCCATTTGACTTCAGTGTACATATGTATGTGTGTTGACAGCGCTTTGGGCATGCTTGGTTGCGTGGAAGTTAGCGTCTTATAAGAATTATCTCTCTCTGTCATCACACGTACTCTCATCACCTGTACTCACATCATACGTACTCTCATCATACGTACTCTCATCATGCGTACCCTCATCATACGTACTCTCGCCATACGTACTCTCATACGTACTCTCATCATACATACTCTCACCATACGTTCTCTCATACGTACTCTCATCACACGTCCTCTCATCATACGTACTCTCAGTATACGTACTTTCATCAGACGTACTCTCATCTTGCGTACCCTCATCATACATACCCTCATCATACGTATTCTCATACGTACTCGCATCATACGCACTCTCATCATACGCACCCTCATCATACGCACTCTCGTCATATGTACTCACATCGTACATACTCTAAATAACATACGCCCTCGTCATACGTACTCTCATCATACGCATTCTCATCATACGTACCCTCGTTATGCGTACCCTCATCATACATACTCTCACCATACGTACTCTCATACGTACTCTCATCATACGTACTCTCATCATACGTTCTCTCATCATACGTACTCTCATCAGACGTACCCTCATCATGCGTACCTTCATCATACATACCCTCATCATACGTTATCTCACCATACGTACTCTCATAATACGCACTCTCGTCATGCTCACCCTCATCATGCGCACTCTCGTTATATGTACTCTCATCATACATACTCTCATCACATACGTCCTCGTCATACGTACTGTCAGCATAGTACTCTCATCATACGTACTCACATCATACGTACTCTCATCAGACGTGCCCTCATCATGCGTACCCTCATCATACATACCCTCATCATACGTACTCTCACTATACGTACTCACATCATACGTACCCTCATCATGCGTACCCTCATCATACATAACCTCATCATACGTTCTCTCACCATACGTACTCTCATACGTACTCTCATCATACGCATCCTCATCATACGCACTCTCGTCATATGTACTCTCATCATACATACTCTCATCACAAACGCCCTCGTTATACGTACTCTCATCATACGCACTCTCATCATATGTACCCTCATCATGCGTACCCTCATCATGCGTACTCTCACCATACGTACTCTCATACGTTCACTCATCATACGTTCTCTCATCATACGCACTCTCATCATACGTACCCTCATCATGCGTACCCTCATCATGCGTACTCTCACCATACGTACTCTCATACGTTCACTCATCATACGTTCTCTAATCATACGTACTCTCATCAGACGTACCCTCATCATGCGTACCTTCATGAAACATACCCTCATCATATGTACTCTCATGCGTACTCTCATCATACGCACTCTCATCATACGCACTCTCATCATACGCACCCTCATCATACGCACTCTCGTCATATGTACTCTCATCACACACGTCCTCGTCATACGTACTGTCAGCATAGTACTCTCATCATACGTACTCTCATCAGACGTACACTCATCATGCGTACCCTCATCATGCGTACTCTCACCATACGAACTCTCATACGTACTCTCATCATACGTTCTCTCATCAGACGTGCCCTCATCATGCGTACCCTCATCATACATACCCTCATCATACGTACTCTCACCATACGTACTCACATCATACGTACCCTCATCTTGCGTACCCTCATCATACATAACCTCATCATACGTTCTCTCACCATACGTACTCTCATACGTACTCTCATCATACGCATCCTCATCATACGCACTCTCGTCATATGTACTCTCATCATACATACTCTCATCACAAACGCCCTCGTTATACGTACTCTCATCATGCGCACTCTCATCATATGTACCCTCATCATGCGTACCCTCATCATGCGTACTCTCACCATACGTACTCTCATACGTTCACTCATCATACGTTCTCTAATCATACGTACTCTCATCAGACGTACCCTCATCATGCGTACCTTCATGATACATACCCTCATCATATGTACTCTCATGCGTACTCTCATCATACGCACTCTCATCATACGCACTCTCATCATACGCACCCTCATCATACGTACTGTCAGCATAGTACTCTCATCATACGTACTCTCATCAGACGTACACTCATCATGCGTACCCTCATCATGCGTACTCTCACCATACGAACTCTCATACGTACTCTCATCATACGTTCTCTCATCAGACGTAACCTCATCATGCGTACTTTCATCATACATACCCTCATCATACGTACTCTAATACGTACTCTCAACATATGCACTCTCATCATACGCACCCTCATCATACGCACTCTCGTCTTATGTACTCTCATCATACATACTCTCATCACACACGTCCTCGTCATACGTACTGTCAGCATAGTACCCTCATCATACATTTTCTCATCAGACGTACCCTCATCATACATACCCTCATCATACGTACTCTCACCATACGTACTCTCATACGTACTCTCTTCATACGCATCCTCATTATACGCACTCTCGTCATACGTACTCTCACCAAACGTACTCTCATACGTACACTCATCATACGTTCTCTCATCATACGCACTCTCATCATACGCACTCTCATCATACGTACCCTCATCATGCGTACTCTCACCATACGTACTCTCATACGTACACTCATCATACGTTCTCTAATCATACGTACTCTCATCAGACGTACCCTCATCATGCGTACCTTCATGATACATACCCTCATCATACGTACTCTCATGCGTACTCTCATCATACATTTTCTCATCAGACGTACCCTCATCATACATACCCTCATCATACGTACTCTCATACGTACACTCATCATACGTTCTCTAATCATACGTACTCTCATCAGACGTACCCTCATCATGCGTACCTTCATGATACATACCCTCATCATATGTACTCTCATGCGTACTCTCATCATACGCATCCTCATCATACGCACTCTCGTCATACGTACTCTCATCATGCAAACTCACATCATACGTACTCTCATCATACGTACCTTCACCATGTGTACTCTCACCATACGTACCCTTATCATACGTACTCTCATAATACGACTCTCATCATACATACTCTCACACGTACTCTCATACGTACTCTCATCATACGCACTCTCATCATACGCACCCTCATCATACGCACTCTCGTCATATGCACTCTAATCATACATACTCTCATCACACACGCCCTCGTCATACGTACTGTCAGCATACGTACTCTCATCATACGTACTCTCATTATACATAATCTCACCACACACGCCCTCAATATAGGTACCGTCAGCATACGTACTCTCATCATACGTACCTTCACCATGCGTACTCTCACCATACGTACCCTTATCATACGTACTCTCATCATACGACTCAAATCATACATACTCTCACACGTACTCTCATACGTACTCTCATCATACGCACTCTCATCATACGCACCCTCATCATACGCACTCTCGTCATATGCACTCTAATCATACATACTCTCATCACACACGCCCTCGTCATACGTACTGTCAGCATACGTACTCTCATCATACGTACTCTCATCATACATAATCTCACCACACACGCCCTCAATATAGGTACCGTCAGCATACGTACTCTCATCATACGTACTCTCACCATGCGTAATCTCATCGTACACACTCTCATCACACACGTTCACATTATAATTTAAGCTTTCATGCCTGAAATACAAACTGAAATACTGTCTAAATCCGCTTGCTTATCACAAACACTCCAGGCGCTCGAGTTTACAGTGAAAACGTTCCTGCGTGCCCCTCCACTGATGGTCACCAAGGAGTCGCGATTGCTGGGAAAGGTGTGGGCGGAACAAGTGAGCCGTAGCTGCCTCTTGCTGACCTATTAAAATATTTCCGACTCCATAGGCGCTTTTTTTAGTTGCACATTGAGAACAGAATATAAAATGTTTATTGTTTTGAACGTTGCTGAACTTTAACATAAAACTACAAGCTGACGATGAAATATTCAATATCATCATCGTCGTCGTCATCTATAAGTGAAACAACACTTACCAAGATATGAAGACAGTTCATTAAGGAAGTAGAGAGGACCTTCTCGAGATCCACTTGAGTTTGCTGACCAATCTCATTGACCACATGGTTCATCTCATCCCCGGCGTGTGTCTCATAAGCTTCGACCCCCTCGCCGAACAGGTGGAGCGACGCGTGGAAGAGACGACGCAAACGGGAATGCTCTTGTCCCGCCTGCAGAAACCCCAAGGAACCATTGTCAAAGACAAACTTGGTCGCAAAAGTACCTTGCCTGTCATTCGTCACTTTTTTGTTAACCTCCGAGCTAAACACCTCTTTGACAACGTCGGCATCGTTGAGAAAGACGATGGCTTGACCGGGGAGTTTGAGCGCCAGGATGTCGCCGTATTCCTTAGCCCAGTCGGTGACAGCGACGTGAAGACCCGTCGTCGAGGACGTATTTAGGAGACTTTTAAAGGCTTCTAATGTTGGAGGCCCTGGCAAATGAGTCTTTTTCGATTTCTTCATTCTCCATAATGTTTTCATCAGCAGGATTGCAATACACACAAGCACAGACGTAATAATCTCCATTTCCTAACTTGTACACAACTTGTGGAATGTTAATGTGAGAGGAAATGTGATATATGTCCAAACTTTTGTGTTTCTCAGGAAAGACGTCAAACACAATTATTGACGACAGCAGTCTATTATGAAATATTCCGTGAGCGCGACGTCTTTTCAGAGTCGCGTAACACATAAACCGTCAAAGTGGTTCAGAATGTCACCTTTTTCTGTACAGTTGAAGCCGATGCATATTCATCACTAGCAATAGTCTGCTCCTGAGGACCACGCTTCACTAATCTCACGAGATCTGTGGATTCCGCGTGGGTTAAACGCCGGCTCGCTCAACACTAAACTTTTCCTTCCGAACAGACACCTGTTGACACGGTCTTAATCCACCACAATCCTGCTTCTGTTTGTCAACTGTGTGATGGTGACACCATCAAATCGGGATAACTGTTATAATAGTTCGAGACTCGCATGACCTAGATCGCTAGGTCAGACAGCTTCCGAGGTCAATGTGCTAATATATTACCGACTCATTTTAAACTCGGATCTATGACACACGTGAAGTGCAGCGTACTTAGAAATCAGATGGAGATATTCCTTAATGTTAAGCGGAAGGATATGCGCGTTCGAATCGTCTCAACTGGTTTGCTAATGAGCTCTTGAGCCCGTTTTAACAAGGCACTATGTGCCGCTTGTTTATCTGTTTATGCATATTTTGGAGATGTGGCAAAACCCTGGCTCCTGATTGGTCACGCCCCCTTCATACCTCCAAGTGACGTCACAGATCAAAACAACCTGGGTCGTTTTCTGCGTGGCAGAGAGTGGGGGATTTGGCTCTAAGCCCAAGTAGTGTTCCAGTCGCAGAACGAAAAGACATTAACATCACACGAACCTTGTAGACAGTCTTATCTATAGTTTAACCCAGACTTCACAAATGGTTTGCTCTGAAGGCTTCATCGCCAAGGTGTTCGGTAATAGCATATGCAAGATTACTTTCGTTTTTTTTTTTGCTCTGTCTGTCTGTGTGCGTGCGTGTCGCTATCTGTCTGTTTGTCTGTGCGTGCGTGTCTGTGTGTGTGTCTGTGTGTCTGTGCGAGTGCAGTTGTCCCTGGACAGATTACATCATATATACATGATTTGGATTAACTAAATATTCAGAGACTATATATGCCACATAGACGCACTTCGTGGACAAGATAGATGTACTTTAATTGGGCCATATAGACGCACTTCGTTGGCTAGGTGTACCTACATAAGGTCATATAGACGCACTTTGTTGTCTAGATGTAGATGTACCTACATTAGGTCATATAGACACACTTCGTTGACAAGATGAACCTACATTAAGTCATTTCGACGCACTTTGTTGACAAGTTGTACCTACATCAGTTCATATAGACGCAGGGGCGGTCGGGTAGCCTAGTGGTTAAAGCGTTCGCTCGTCACGCCGAAGACCCGGGTTCGATTCCCGACATGGGTACAATGTGTGAAGCCCATTTCTGGTGTCCCCCGCCGTGATATTGCTTGAATATTGCTAAAAGCGGCGTAAAACCATACTCACTCACTCACTCATATAGACGCAGTTCAGTGACTAGAGTGAGTGAGTTGAGTTTTACGCCGCTTTGGACAGTATTTCAGTTATATCACACCACTCCACACCACACCACACCACACCACACCACACCACACTATACCACCGATGAAAACCTCAACACCACCACCAGTCCTTGTGACTCTCTATGGTCTAAAGGGGCACGGGTGGCCCAGTCGTCTAAGGCGCCGCGATTCGCTGTGCAGAGTTGCACCCTTTGGGCACGCCAGAAATCTATGATTGTTGGTTCGAATCCGGGTTCGCCCCGATTATGTTTCTAGGTTTGTCAGCACCATACCCGTGCTCGTGGGTTTCACCGAAGTGGTAAACGTCTTTGACCTGCATCACTTCGGGCATTCCTCCCACATTAAGCCAACACGCCGTGATATAACTATAATACTGTTAAAGCGGCGTTAAACTCAACTCACTCACTCACTCACTCACTCACTCTATGGTCTAATTCATCTTCATATCAGTACCTGTACCTCCGTGAGAGAGCATCTTCCATAGCTGTACCGAGAGTATCATTTAAACACTGACGCATATACAATGGATATGACGTTCGCACCAAGCTCCATTCAAATTAGAATCTGGTTCATGGTCATAAAGAACACAGGTGCGCGATAATAAACCAAAGGCTGAGATAACGTCAACCCTATCAACAAAACCATCAAGCACACTCACTTCCCCTTTTATATTGTGACTTAACCTAGTCCTACAGAGTCCTACTAACACTACTTGCAGTCATGCGGTTACCTCTACTCTAAGCGTAAGAGGCATTGCGGTGGTAAGTTGAGTTCTGAAGACTGAAGATAGAGCAAGTGTGGTTGTACGCAGCATTCAACAATACCAACAATATCATGGCGAAAGAATCGGTATAACTGATTGAACTGTGGGGAATCGAACCGATGTCTTCGGCGGCAAGTGAACCACTTGACTCCCCCACCGACCTTAACATAATGTATTGTTGCAGTGCTTATTGGGTTTCTTGTAGTTTTGAAGATCCAGACTAGAATAGGTCTTCGACAACCCGTGCTTGTAAGAGGTGACTAACGGGATCGGGTGGTCAGACTCGCTGACTTGGTTGATGTATGTCATCGTATCCAAAATGCGTGGATCGATGCTCATGATATCAATCACTGGATCATCTCGATTATTTACAGACATTCGTCATATAGCTGGAATATTGCTGAGTGCGGCGTTTAAACAACAAACAAACAAACAAAGTATGACTACTCATTAACTTATGGGTAGTCAAACTTTGTTTGTTTGTGTGTTTACTCCGGAGTCAGCAATATCCTGATTATATAAATACTGTACGTATTCGAATCAGGAAAGGCACACCGGTGACCGTTCAACGATCCACGCAATTTGGTTATGATGACATGCACTTTGCCTGGCCACCCGATCCGCCTTTTAGTCGACTCTTATATACACAAGGGGTTCTTGGAACATTTCCTGCCCCCGAATCCCTACATAGGTATAACTTCCCCGTGGAGATCCGGGGTAGAATACCCGACCGCCCCTCGTCGTGAAATAATAGAACCACCGTTCATCCGGGGTATAATAGGTCTTCAGCAACTCATGCTGGCCGTGAAAGGCGACTATGATTATAGTAAGAGGTGACTAACGGGATCGGGTGGTCAGGCTCGTTGACTTGGTTGATGCATATCATCGTATCCCAAACGCGTGGATCAATGCTCATGATATTAATCACTGGATTATTGGTCCAGAGTCAATTATTTACAGACCGCCGTCCTATAATTGGAATATTGCTGAGTACGACGTTAAACCAAAAAAGAATCAAATATGGGACTGGTATAACTCACCAAACTAAATAAATAAATTGAGAATATAAATTACCGCAGTTACCGAGATCAACCCCCTTGAAGATCACAGTTAGAATTGGTCTTTAGCAACCCAAGTTTGTCGTAAGTGGCGACTAACGGGATAAGGTGGTCAAACTCGGGTGATGCATGTCATCGTATGCCAGTTGCGAAGATCGATGCTCATGTTTGTGGTGGCACAGTCATCTAAGGCGCCACAATTCGCTGTGAAGAGTTGTTTCCCTTAGACCTACCAGAGGTCGATGATCGCGGGTTCGAATCCCAGATTCGGCCCGATTATGCTTATATGTTTGTCAGCACCATACCCGTGCTCGTGGGTTTCACCGAAGTGGTAAACGTCTCAGAGGTACAACACTTCGGGATTTCGTCTCCAATCAAGGGGGCGGTTGGGTAGCCTAGTGCTTAAAGCGTGAGCTCGTCACGCCGACGATCTGGGTTCGATTCCCGACATGGGTACAATGTGTGAAGCCCATTTCTGGTGTCCACCGCCGTGATATTGCTGGAATATTGCTAAAAGCGACGTAAAACCATACTCGATCACTCACTATTTAAGAGAAAATATTTTCACTCACTCACTACAATCAAGCCAACACGCCGTGATATAACCAAAATACCGTTCAAACCAAACTCATGTACTCACCAACTGTAAGTGAGTGAGTGAGTGAGTGAGTATGGTTTCACGCCGCTTTTAGCAATATTCCAGCAATATCACGGCGGGAGACACCAGAAATGGGCTTCGCACATTGTACCCATGTCGGGAATCGAACCCGGGTCTTCGGCGTGACGAGCGAACGCTTTAACCACCAGGCTACCCGACCGCCCCCACCCACTGTAGACAAGCATGTATGCAAACATTTATGTCTTAAGCTGTCAGGAAAGGATATCAGGCAACACCATCGTTATGAAGTGGTAACGGCGTACACATATGAATGTTGAATAAGCCCAGCATATCGTGTTTATAATGAACATAAACTAACCAAAGTTTTAATACGTTCATTGCGTAAGTGTTAGATAACATATACTTCATTGGTAGAGTTCCTCACTTTATGATAGTCGCACAAAAATAATCTGCGCAGTTATACCCAAATATGTCAACGGTCAGGCGTTCGCGACTAGGTATATTAGCTGTCCCCAACTCACAGCTTGGTTTTAAAGGTCACAACACTTTATTATTTATAGCAACAGTAATTTGTTGTGTGTCTGTTTCCGCAACTTTCCGCCTTGACTCAATGGCTACTGTTGTGTTCAGCAGGAATTCCACCAAATCAAGAAGAGAAGGAATGCTGGCGCCGAGCCTTCATAACGAGACGACTGTAAATGACCGAACAGCTGTGTTGTTGTATTGAAAACATGCTATCCTGCCACTGGTTGCCACGTTGATTATGAGTCATAACGTGATATATAATAGCTTGGGTATTTATGTCCAGTAAGAGTATTCTATGAACGTACAAGCAAGCATCTTGTTATAGTTTTGGTTTGGTTTGTTGTTCTACGCCGCACTCAGCAATAGCATCTTGTTATAGTTTTGGTTTGGTTTGTTGTTTTACGCCGCACTCAGCAATAGCATCTTGTTATAGTTTTGGTTTGGTTTGTTGTTTTACGCCGCACTCAGCAATAGCATCTTGTTATATTTTTGGTTTGGTTTGTTGTTTTACGCCGCACTCAGCAATAGCATCTTGTTATATTTTTGGTTTGGTTTGTTGTTTTACGCCGCACTCAGCAATAGCATCTTGTTATAGTTTTGGTTTGGTTTGTTGTTTTACGCCGCACTCAGCAATAGCATCTTGTTATAGTTTTGGTTTGGTTTGTTGTTTTACGCCGCACTCAGCAATAGCATCTTGTTATAGTTTTGGTTTGGTTTGTTGTTTTACGCCGCACTCAGCAATAGCATCTTGTTATAGTTTTGGTTTGGTTTGTTGTTTTACGCCGCACTCAGCAATAGCATCTTGTTATAGTTTTGGTTTGGTTTGTTGTTTTACGCCGCACTCAGCAATAGCATCTTGTTATAGTTTTGGTTTGGTTTGTTGTTCTACGCCGCACTCAGCAATAGCTTCTTGTTATAGTTTTGGTTTGGTTTGTTGTTTTACGCCGCACTCAGCAATAGCATCTTGTTAAAGTTTTGGTTTGGTTTGTTGTTTTACGCCGCACTCAGCAATAGCATCTTGTTATAGTTTTGGTTTGGTTTGTTGTTCTACGCCGCACTCAGCAATAGCTTCTTGTTATAGTTTTGGTTTGGTTTGTTGTTTTACGCCGCAC